TTTACAGCCACATCATAATCAGCCTCTCATTTATAAAATGTTCACTTTGTCTGGTTTTGTTGCAGCATGCCCCATATCTGAAGTGGGATATAACTGAATATAGTAAATAGTATAATGCGTTTTTCGTTTTAATAGTACAAGAAATTTATTGGTATGACGTTTGACGCTTGAACAATTTCGTAAACACTAAACGCGGAAATGCATTCTTTTATATTGAAATCGAGACGTTTTTATTTACAACAATGCTACATAATCTGATTGAAAAGTAATTATCCTTTTGGCAAAAAACTAGTTTCTTGGGATATGGGAGATGGTCTGTTTAGTTACTATTTGCAATAGATTATAATTAAAAGATCAGGTCATATGGTGTACAGCATTAATGCACTAACCAACAAAGGATAGTTTAACTATAGATAGAAATAACATGATATTTATGTAACACGGTTGACATATATAGTAAGGCAAATTTACCGAGGGGATATAACTGAGGTATGATCACTATATATTTCTATAGGTATGGGAAATCGGGCGCTGTGAATTTCGGGGATAGGGATATATCGATTGGGATACAAATGAGGGAAATTTATACTGAGATATAATAGGGGAAATCCGTCCAGCCCCAAAGCTGGGATATATCGTTACAATAGGGGGGGGGGTTATAAACGAGGGATGACCTGTATTAGTTTTCCTCCATACCCTTTATAGCCGTTTTCAAAATTATAGATTTGATGTACTTTTTGAGTATACTTCACATGAAAACGAATACACAGGCTAGCCAATCAAAATCTTTGGAAATTTTGTATAACAATAGCCAATTGGCCAATAATATTATACGGAATTGACATCTTAGATAATAATAATAATAATCTGTCAATGAAGACGAATATCAATGGAAATGGACCGATTGGTTTTCGCTATTTGAAATAACCAAGTATAGGCCCGACTTTAAATATTGAGCAATGGAATAAGAGAGTAGATTCGTTTGCAAACATATACTTGAGAGGAATGGTAAGTTATAATTGATGATTGCGCATGTTATTAATGTTATGTCGATTAGCGACCTCGGTTCTAACAGTACGTCAATTTCTCTTTTCTGCTTCAGGTAATATATATATATATATATATATATATATATATATTGATGTTGATGCGAGCAGGCAATATCAACTGTGCGTTTACAAGACATATCATTACCAGATTCTGCTTCGGTTTCATCCATTTACCGTTGATTAGTAGTTTACGTTCCTGTTATACATACAAGAGTCAGTTAATGTAATAGTCTCTTTTCCTTGCGGGGTGAATATGCAAATGGAGAAGTTTGTATGTGGGGTAACTTTCAGCTTTTTTAGAAATGGATCGGCTTCTGGTTCCAGCGGACTTTCCAGATGAGTCTGCCACTCTTCGTAAGCGAACTGATGTATCAACAACTTTTCAGAATTATTATGAGTTTATCTCTGCATCTAGTTACCAAGCTGCTATTGTTAGCTTAATTAATAGCTTACTACTGGATTTCTTTATAACAAGGAGATGTTACTAGTTGGAAAATTAGACAATTTGGCGTTGAAAATCACTTTGATTTCCCGCAGATAGTGAACTCTTTAGTTAACGGCTTATTAGAAGCAAATGGACAGTGAATTAGGAGTACCAAAATGGGTTACGGATGACAGTATTGTTATACCATTAGTTGTGTCGGTTTTCCGTAATCGCCACATCAACTTACTTTAGCCACCATTTCTGGGGGGTTTTTTTACGATGTTTAGAAAAATTTGTACAAACGAATGCTTAACCAAACAGATATTTACTAAACAAATAATACTTCCAAATTTATTCAAGAGTTTACGTAATTTTATAGACAATTTTTAATTATACTATATAGTGTGAAAATAATTAATAGACTTCGCTTTTTGTCTTCAAGTTTACGCATTAATGAGAAAGACGTATTTTATAATTAATAATTGCGTGCGCTTAATATTAAGCTATCTTGCACATGTGATATTAATCTTTTTAAGCATGGAATTAGAGTGTGTTAAGCAACCTTTAGAGCACAGTTAAGTGTATTATATTAAAAAGTAATCTTCAGCGGACAAGCTAAACAAATGGTGAAATGGGTTAAAACACTTGAACAATCGATGCAAAAAAGATACTAAGTCTAAACAAGTAAATTTGAAATATAGATATTAGACTAATACGTTTGCGCTAACGGCATAAACAGTTTTGCATAGCACGTAACATAATGCTTTTGTACGCAACATTTCTGGAAGCTGAGAAAACGTTTTTATAAGTACATAGAAGTTGTGTAAATATACGCAAGCACGCGCAAATTTAGGTTGCTAAGGAAAATTTTCTAAGACTATGGACTTTAATCTATAGGACTAATATATTAAAATATATTTAAAAAACAATATTAATATATTTTGAGCTGCAATGGGGTATGGCAGAATAGTACATATTTAATAAATTTTTGGTTAACTTTGTTTTTAATGCGACGTTATCAACAATTTACGTAACAGATTTTAATAACATTGTTTTATAATGGTAAATCTAATCTTGCGAACAAGCTATTATTCATTAAAGTTGAGCATCTTGTCATTTTTTTTCTTTAACATTACATGCACGGTTTTAATACTTAAAATTAGTGTAAACATCATTGAATAATTTGGCTATGACAACAGTTTACATTACTGGCGGAGTGATAATTCCGAGTGTAAAAGCTATTGTTCGCGGTCGGAATATATGTAAAGCAATGTTATGCACAACTTATCATGTGTTCTTTATGCTTGTACAATGTACCGCATACGCGTGTAACATTCGAAATCTCACTGATATACCTTCGATGCTCGACTTCTTCATTCTCCAAGTCACCAGCACTGAATCTGAACTCCAGGAATTTCTTAAGTGAGGGCGTATCTGTGACCTCCCATAATAACCAACATATTAACACAGAGACCCCGTAGAGCATACCGCCGTCAGCGATGTGCCTGTCGCGTCCTCATTTCGGCACAACCAAAATCACGTATATTGTTGAAGCCAAGCTAGGCTCTTACCACGATATTGTAAAGAAACAAGGCACTCAGTAGTTAATTTCATGGTGACACGCGTTGAGGTGGAGCAGGCCTGCTACTGTTCAAAAGCAGACGTGTGAATTAGTTTAACCTCGACTTTTATTCCAAAAAAAAAAAAAAACATCACGTGACACAAACTTTCCATACTGTAGATACTAGGGATACTTCAGTTGTGATTTATTCGTTATTCTCAGAGACAAAGAGCTATTAAATTCCAGTACCTTCTTTAAATTTCCTCTTATCCGTACAGGAGTTCGTTTCTATCATAATAAGAGAGAGAATGAATGTTCCTTGTGATCAGTGGTTTCACAATAATGTGAATGTTGTGATCACATTGTCCTTCTAATCGAGTTCGGATATTTATGCGCCACAAATAGTATGACATCACATTTTCATATGTCACAATCTACTACTACGACTTCTCACTTTTCTTCCTCAATACCACATAGCCTAATGGAACCGAGTAGATGCCATCACTGCGGTACAATAGGCCACAAGAAGTTCGATTGCACCGAGAGGTGCAAAGTTTGGTGCAACTGGTGTGGGAATCCCCCCGCACGCCGACCTCCTGCTGTTGGCAAGGGTGGACAGGATGTGCCTCAGAGACAAGGAAGTGGAAATGGGAGAAACGCTGTTAATGTTTCCGGTAAGTTATGGCATTATATCAAATTTCTGGAATGATAAATATGTAATGACTTCATTAATGGCAATTATGAATATATCAGTAATGGGTTATTTTTCACCTTCGTCTTTAGGCCCTAATAATGCTAGTAAAGTGAGTGGCTGCATGCAATAGTTTAAATGATCGATTATCTCTCAAGGCATATCTTATATATTTGTTTAATTATTCACGCAATGGTGTATTGTTGTATATCGTCGTCGCCTCATTTCATCTATTCTTGTTCATGAGACAGCAAGTACAACAGGTGTCGCTAGGTTGGCCCTTGTTGCAACCTCCGCAACAACAAACACCGCCACCTCAATCTCATCAACATCAATCATCAATATTTACGCCCCCTCCTCAACTTTGTCCTTCTCAACCATTTCACATGCAACAACCAACGTCAAATATACTTATTCCTCAGAATATCCGGCCTGTTCCTCAATTTGCTCAAAATCAAGTTCCAATAATTAATCATGTCAACAATATATTACCTCCTCTACCCGCACCAACAGTCCAATCAACATTTAGTCAACAGCGGCTTTCAAGTTGGACAACTCAGATGCCACAGCAACCGCGGACATTCGATCTCCCTAACCAAGTAGATCAATCGTTGCAGCGTCCACCGACTCAGTCATCACAATCTTTTACCGGTGCATTCACAAAACCATCCATTGGACAGCCTTTACTTCCCAAATTGCCAGAGAAACCGTTTCAACAACCACCATTTCCACAATCATCCATATCACAATCCCAACTGCCCAACTCTGATGCATCGTCATCGTCATCGTCATCATCTCCTTTATCATCGTCTTCTACCACGACGATTACCCCTAATGCTGTAACTCGTGAACCACATCGAATGCCCTTAGCTGATCGTACGGATCAACAACCGCGGCGTCTTGATCGTTCGAATGCCGAGGTTGTGAACAAACTGATAGCAATGAAAGAGCAAATAGAAAAGGGACTGCATCCGACGATTAAACCAGGAATAAAAAGTGGGGTAACGACTAAAAGCTACACAATAACCCAGAGTATAGAATCAGCACATTCTAACGCGTTCTTCACATCTATAGATGATCGAATTAAATCATCAACAAAAGAGAACACGAAGCTGGAGTCATTTGTTGATGTGAAGTTAGATATTCCTAATCCATTATCAGAACCTGAGACCGTATTTTCTTCTACTCCCATTCCTTTTCCTTCAAATTCCCAAACTGCAAGGGATTCCAATTACGATAAAATATTTCGCGCTCCAAGGACTAAATCTGTTGACTCTCCATCTGACAGAGATCGTCGGTTTACGCTTCGCACAGGATCATTTCCGTCACCCCTTGCGAGTGATTATTACTCTAATCCTGAACACAATCGGTTGGATCTTGATCGGAACGTATTCGAACATAGAACTAGTAGATCACGTAGTCCTAAGCACAATTTACGTGATTATCGTGAGTATAGCCGTTCTCCCGCCTCTACAAGGCATTGTGTGAAACCCATGTCCGAATATGATGAAAAATATTGTAGTCGTGATGCTCTACCTGAATATAGAGACAAGGATTATCCCCGTCCTCAGGTTTTCGAAGATCCTGGGAATTATTATCCCTATCCACCTGAACGTTACAACGAGAAGTATGATGAGAGAGGACATAATAAAAATTACTTACGTGATCCAATGATGAGAAGATCTAGATCACCGCCATTTTATCATTATAGTCGACGTATGGATGAGAGTGGCAATGGATGGTATGGAAATGGATTGTATGACAGAGAGTATCAAAGACAAGGAATATATCATGAATCGCCAAGGGATGACAGGTATGAACATAGAGAGAGAGAATTCCCAATGAGAGATATTGATAGAGAATATCCCGAAAGAGAGAACTCCAAAATCATGGAATATGATTACGGTATGAGCAGGAAGAGATGGCATTAGATTTCGGACTATCGCTGTGACCTCAATACAATAAGACGTCTTATCATTGATTGCATTGTATATGAAAATCACATTTAGTAAGTTGAATAAGCTATAATGATTGAACACGATATATTATCGTAATAAATAACAACTGTTACTAATAATGCATATCACATTGATTCAATATTTATTGTTTAACTCTGGTCAGACGGGAGCAGATTTGTTTTTAATGTAGCTTTTCATTAGGTCAAAAGAAACCTCGTGTGCCGATCGTATAATAACACGGAACCTTATCGGAATTATACAAGGCCAGGCTGTGGCCGCCTACTGAGACTTACCATAGATACCCTCCTATTATTATGTTCCGATGTTAATATATGTTTGATGTTCTAAGATGCTTGTTCTGATTACCTGAAAAAAATCAACACAAATATTGGGTGGATAATTAACCTATCGATCAGAAACAGCAACGGATGGAGATTTTTAATTATTAATTAATGATCAATAATTCTTTCGTTGCCATTTACTTGTCCAATCTACTTACTGTGCAATGGAAGCTGGAATGCTGCATTCTTTGACCTTGAAGTCGTATGTAATACGGATTTACATATGCAAAAATGTAATTTACATATGATTAACATATGTTGCGCATTTTAATAGTTAAAGTTACATAGTTTGCCAATAGTCCTAATTTTAAATATAGTGAGATGATAATGTACAGTGTGTAACGAAAAAAACCGCTATCATAAAATATACCATAACTCAATGACCATGCAAAATTTTTAAACAATTCCAATTTTTTTTAAAAGCTTATAATGTGCTTTATTGCAGGTAAAATTTTCAATACAAAATTCTATCGCCATTTTTCTGCAAAACAAGCTCACACCTCTTTTTTCATCGATGAAATTAATTTTGTACAGTCGTTTCTGGAATTGCGTCCATTCTTTGGTCATAAATTGTTTTACTTCTTAGCATCTATGTTTCAACGTTATTCTTGACAATATGCCACATGTTTTCGATGCGATAAGGAATATTGGTCTTTCATTTAGGGATTGGACGCCATTAAGCCAATAATGATAATTGTTTGTCGTTGAACTTCAAGTCTCTCTATGGTTCAAAGGACAAGGGGGAGGACAAGGACTAATTACGATAATTATTACTTGAATACGTTTACTAACATGGGGAGTAATCAAACATAAAGACGCGTTTGTTATCAATAACAACACGCACCCTTGTTTGTTTTTTTACAAAATATGTTCAGGCGGTTTTTTTCGTTACACACTGTATATAGGCAATTATATTCCGCTAGCTAACAGTATCGGAAAATCGTAAATCGCAGATATTAATACAGCAAGCTAACTTCATTCAAGCTGTGGCTGTTGCAATAAAACCCCAAGTTCAACGCTATAATTGCAAGTAATTTTCGGACTTTACGTAGATTGTGTACACTATGTCATATCTATCGATTCGAAATTACAATCTACACAAATATATGTTGACATCGAACACTATTAAATTTTATCATTTATATGCGGCAAACCTACGGTATTGTGATCCAATACTGTGCAAGTATATGTTTAATGTCGAAAAAAGATATTTAATTAATAATTATTCGAGACGCTTACTTTCATTAATATGTAAATAAACTTCCTAACGAATTATCTATTAGAAGTAATGTTGAGCGTGATACTAAAACTGCGGCTTATTAAGGTGATTGAGCAAAACATATGATGTAAATATTATTGCCAATAGACATTACAGAAACTCATCGACTTAATTAATTTTTTAACCTGAGCAATTATACACTCAATTGAGTACAACTTTATTGCCAAGCTACCCAGGAGGGCTAAAGCTAGTTTTAACATGATACAGGATTAGAACATAGGTGCTATGCTACATAATCTATCCTATTGTACCCTAGGTTCAATAAAGAGGAGGAGGGGAGGAGGGGTTAGGTGAGGATTTGGGATGCTATTTTAGATGATGGGGGCCAGGGGGAGTGTGGGTGTTGGTAGATATCTATATTGCGGAGGGATAGGATGTTTGAGGTGAGGTTGGAGAGGATTTGGGGGAGAGGGAGGACAGGGTTTTGGCCAAAGGCCCTGTCTGTATAAGCACGCCAGATGGTCTGTATTGCTGCTGATTGCAGCAGACGACCACAGTGTTGTTTGTTAGGGGAAGGGAGAGAGATTAGAGAGAGAGAGTTGAGAGCTGAGTGATGAATGAGTGTTGCTATGTTATCTGTTGCTGTCCATACCTCAATTGAGGTTGGACAGTTCCAGAAGAGGTGGGGTATGTTGTTGAGGGTGTTGGGACGAGCAATTATACACTCACTGGACACAAGTCTGGGTAATTTTCGCCGATCACATAGGAAAACATATGAAAAATCTATTTGTTCAAAAAGCTCTATCGTACGTATCTACTATATAAGCCATGACGATTTTTATACCGTTTTAAAGATAATTGATTGTAATTTTTGAGAAAAATAGTGATATATTTAGTCCTGACGCTGTAGTTTGATAGAACGACAGTGTCTACGTTACCCGTATGAAAATCTATGAATAATATGTGTAACGTAGACACTACCGCTTTATCGAATTGCGGGACTAAACATATCACTATTTTTCTCGAAAAGTATAATCAATTATCTTTAACACTGTATAAAAATCGTCATGGCTTACATAGTAGATACGTACGATAGAGCTTTTTGAACAAATAGATTTTTCATATGTTTTCCTATGTGACTTTTGTCCAGTAAGTGTATATGAACAAAGTTTATATAGCCAATTGTTCTAATGTCCGCAGTAGTAGACGTAATAGTAACGTGAGTAATCACCAGAACATCACGTAAACTCTAAAAATAATAAAAACTCCTCAAACAAAATAACGCGCTTTACGCTTTTTACCTCGCAAAGGATAACATACGACACAAGTGCCCAAGTTTTTTTTCTCCGTTCCAAGTTTTGTTGTGTCAGCACGACTGGCGAGGGACGGAGAACAAGTTCATGTCGCTCTCGCCTCCATTAGGAGGCGACATTTTAATGCGCTGGTCGCATCAAGTAGTCTTGTCGTTTTTTCTTGGCTAACCGGTGCTATTCCTGCGGGTCAGGGATACTACCAACCATACATTTCTATTCTTTTTTTCACAGCTCTTCTTATAGGTCCGCGAGCTAACGCAAGGCGCCGGGTGCCTCGAAGACTATCAGACCTGTCGAGGTGGGACGAAACAAGAAGGTTTTCGCGCTGGCATTTGTATAGCCAGCGAATGCGTCAGGAGGAAAGGGAGAACCGAAGGCAGGTAACTATTCATTGGATATCGCAGCGTGAGGAGCATATCGCTCCTCAAGCCTTCTATCAGAGAGAGCGGAGGCTGGAACTTAGTCTCAGGGGGTTTAATTTGGCAATGAGCCGCCCAGAAGACTACGTCTCCGTAACGCTGCAGAGACGTCCTCACCCTATTCCACCGTGGGGTTTGAGGGCGACTAATGCCATAAATAGGTTATTTCCAAGAAATAGACCTGTCTTGGTACCTCGGGGAAATCCTCCTTCTCGACAAGGTAAGATAAATAAACTTATTAAATTATTTATTCGTTTTTTTTTTGCTGTTTTTTTATTTAACCAAGTATTATTTTTTCTCAAATAGGAGTGTCCCGTTTTCTCCCGCCCGTGGTCGATTTACCACCTAGAACGCCAGGGCGAAGAAGAGCTGTGGTGCGAGATACTCAAGGTAAACAGAGTGAAAATATACACTCTCGATATGCAATACTTATTCATAAAACGTTCTGGCTAAAGTAAAATGTTTTGTTTTTTTTGAAATAGCACCTCCATCACAATCGCCAGACTCCTCGACTCAGCAAGCATCAGTCGATACGAGGAATCAGTAAGTTTTGTGACGTCATCTATTATTAAGTTTGGTAAGATATTAATAATATTTGCCTTTAAAGGGAGATTGTGGTGCAACCACCCCAGCCAAGACGCAACCCACCTCGAGCCGCAAGACCCCGAAATTCGAACAGAAGGCAGTAAGTTTTAGTAAAGCTTTATGTTATGGTTAGATATTTATTATGATTGTTTTATAGGGTCGATACGGCGCAGCCGCCACAACCGCGGCGAAACCCGCCTCGAGCTGCAAGACCCCAAAATTCGAACAGAAGGCGGTAAGTTTTAGTAAAACTTTATGTTATTACAGGTTAGATATTTATTTATGTTTGTTTTATAGGGTCGATACGGCGCAGCGACGAAACCCGCCTCGAGCTGCAAGACCGCGGTAAATCACCGCGAGGCTCGTAACGAGATCTCAGTATATATTATAAATAAATTGAAATGATTTTTACACTTGAATTTTTGCCTTTTGTATTTTATTGTGAAAGCCGTTTATATTTTCCAACATGATAACCATACAAGTCACATGACTCAACAGTTTCTCGAACAAACATGTTAGATTGGCCGGGTCAAAGTCCAGACCTCAATCCTATCGAACATTATTGGGAAGACGTGTTCATGGGAGAATAAAAAAGAACAGGAGTTAAAAATTTACTTAAGAGCATGAACAATGGAATAGAAAATTTTAGTAGTCCGAGTTTTACTTTAGCCATATTAATATTAATATTAATACTAAATTCAGATTTAGGTAACATAACGATTAGAAAACCGTGACCGTCACAGCCACGATTGAGAATTTTCTTATCGTGCCTCTTTGATAGTAGTTTAGCCAAATACATAAACTTCACACACTACTGCCAGCCTTTTCTTTCGTGAATATGTCTGTCACAGTTTATTTTGTCCGTCATGGAGAGAGATTAGACCACATAGATCCTGATTTCATGAATACGTCTCCTACACCTTATGATCCACCCTTGACAGACTTTGGCATTATGCAAGCAAAAAGAACAGGCAGTTACATTAAGCACGCACAATCCGAGAGAACGGCAGGAAATAATTTGCCTACAGAGTATGTCGTATATACTTCACCTTTTTTAAGAACTATACAGTCAGCTCTTAGTATAGCAGAGGAAATCGATAATGGGACAATAGTACGACTCGAACCGGCTATCAGTGAATGGCACGGTAACACGTATTTTAACCAAGCAGTGCCAGATAGCTTAATAAATACGGGTATAGAGCGGATTCAACAAATGACGGCAACGTCTAGTTCATCATATTCAGTGGATTGGTCGTATGTTCCTGTGTTATCCACTTTAGCTAAATTTCCCGAGAGCCTGCAACAAGTCATTGATCGTTGTAAAAAGGCCCTCAACGGCATTACTCAGCCTTATATTACAGCCTACCAGAATTCCACATCACCAAAAAATGTAGTTTTGATCATTGTAACTCACGGATGGTGTGTGAATGTACTTCTAGAAGCATGTTCGAGAAGTGCGTTATGGATAAACGTGAGTTACTGTGCTATATCAAGGGCAACTTGGATACCGGGTGAAAGAGAAGAGGTAGTCCCTGGAACGCGAAAAGTAAGAATAGTAATTGAAGAGGATGAAGACTTATCAAAGAATACTGGAAGATGGGAAGTGGACTTGGTTAGTAGCGACGAGCATTTAAAAGGACTTTTATAGACAATTTGGATCGCTGTGTGTTAAATCAAATAGAACCAGATTTCAAAGCGTCGACATTAACTAGAATGCCAAGTATTGGTCACTCTCGATGAAGTAACTATGTTACACATAATCATGCAAAAATGATAATTGTTTAAAGTAAACCAATTAAATTATTATTTTAAAGCTTTTATTGATGTAAAGTCAATACATTATTGTCTCACCATTTTTTGCAATAATTTCGTCACTTCTTTGTCTGTGAGCATATTTCAGAAGCTTTGCATGTTCCCAGCACTATTTTGTAATAAATAACTTTGAGAATTGGACGTGATGTAATCAATATTAATATGAACAAAGCAAGACAATCTTTATTTTTATTCTACATGACATGAATAGGAAACGTTATCTCTGTGCAAACTATTGAGCGTGCTGTGAAAAAAAGAATAGAAATGTATGGTTGGTAGTATCCCTGACCCGCAGGAATAGCACCGGTTAGCCAAGAAAAAACGACAAGACTACTTGATGCGACCAGCGCATTAAAATGTCGCCTCCTAATGGAGGCGAGAGCGACTTGAACTTGTTCTCCGTCCCTCGCCAGTCGTGCTGACACAACAAAACTTGGAACGGAGAAGAAAACTTGAGCACTTGTTTCATATGCCATTGTAAGAGTGCGCTTGATATCTTTTGCAAGGTAAAAAGCGTAAAGCGCGTTATTTTGTTTACAAGGAGTTTTTATTATTTTTTAGAGTTCACGTGATGTCTGTATTTGAAATACGTGATTACCCACGTTACTATTACGTCACTACTGTGGAGATTAGAACAATTGGCTAGATATAAACTTTGTTTATTTATAATTGCTAGTCAATTTGGCAGGTTAAAAGATTAATTGAATCGGATTACCATTACGAGCATCTACGTAACTTAAGTCGATGAGTTTCTGTAATGTCTATTGGCAATAATATTTACGTCATATGTTTTGCTCAATTACCTTAATAAGCCGCAAGTTTTAGTATCACGCTCAACATTACTATAAGTCTAATAAATAATTCGTTAGGAAGTTTATTTACGTATTAAGGAAAGTAATCGTCCCGAATAATTATTAATTAAATATTTTTTTTCGGCAATTAAAACATTAAACATATGCTTGCACAGTATTGAATCAATATCGTAGTTTTTAGCATCGTTTCTATCATGTTTGCCGCATATAAACGACAAAATTTAATGTCAACATAGAAATAGTTGTGCGATATCAACAACTGCTTGTAGATTATTTGTGTGGATTGTAATTTCGTGAATCGATAAGATTCTAATACAATTTGCCCACTGTTTCTTGAATAGATCAATTTTTTAATGAAATTTTTATCGCAAGATTGCAGCCGACCGCACTTTTATTAAAAGCGTCCCAAACTTGTTGCTAATCATAATATCGTGTGTCCTCCATTGTTATTTGAAAAAGATATAAAGGTATCAGTTTCTATAATTGGCAAAGTGGTATCATCAGCCGCTGGGCAATATTCTCACGGTTACGGATTTTCCATACTCTCGACGCCCAATTATTAACATGTCACCAAGTTTGTGTATGTGGTATACGTCCCAAGCACAGTTGAAATTATGGAACCCGTTAAGATATTGTAGAAAAGCCATAGGCGCAAGAGAGGTTAATCAAATTTGGTTTTGCATAATTGATTTCTATTTCTGGTAAAACACCTGATTGAATGAAACGGAAACATCTGCAGTTCCTTCCCTCTCTCGTTCAACAATGCTATGCCCTTAACTGTTTTACTTATTACTCTGATTAGTTTACTAATCGTAGGTTAAAGAAATTTATAGAATTGTGGCGACGTTATTTACATTTATTACAATACACGTTAATTTTTTGACAAAATTGACTTCATTCATGAAAAACAAAGCAGGTGACTCTTTTTATTTCAAATAGTAAACAAAGCAACTTTCAATTTTCTGATTCCTAATTACATTCTCGAAACGTTCTGCTATACAACGATTACTATATCACTACATTACGTTCTACTTAATCGATTGTTGAATATCTGTTATTACCGACATTTACATTAAAAGTTTTTATAATTTACTGCTTATGTGTTAGTCGGTGCGGGGGAAATTACTGAGGTTATGGCATTATTGTAATTTTAATTTTTAATTACAGAAAATGGATTATAAATTTATAGTACCGCTCCTTATTCTCTTCTTCTGCCTCCTTTTCTTGCCCTTTCCTGAACTATCGCCCGCTTTCCACAATTCATGCGGTTCTAATTATGATACGGGATTATAGGATATAACAGATTTATGTGTTTTTGTACGCGTGACTAATGGTGTATATAAGCATAGAGCATATCAGAGTTAATGCGAAAATAAATTAAAAGTGGGCACAGCGTAACCATAAGTGAACAACGTTTGGTAAGCATCTTACTTGCGTGTAATAATACAGCTCTGCAGTTTGTCGAAATACAATCTTTAGCTTGGGCTTGATTATTGTTCCCCTGAGAAGCGTAGTTGTGAGAATTAATACCAAACTATGAATTGTTAAAGACATTAGACTAACAAATTGATGATATCATATGGTCCTCGATGTTCCATTGCTCGTTGTGCATCGCTGGTGATTATGATGTTTCTTCCGCGAGTGATTCTTACTAGATTCTGTGCATTACTGATAAGCTGCCTTCGACTTCCAGAATCTTTAAATCGTTCCGCATCGAATTGGTATAATCCATAGGTTAGATATGTACGAGCCACCAGAGAAAGGCGCATTCTCCACCTTTTGCTTATATATACACATACACATAATACGTCGAATAGCAGGCGCATACGAAATCTCAAAGTAGATGCCTCGATCGATAGCCAATCCCACTGTTGTAGAATGGTAATCGGCTTCCCATTTCAAGTGATATAATATCCACATTGAAAGTGCCTTTGCCATCTGAAAGAGCTTCTTGTTAGTCGGTTGAACCGCAACTAGGTCATAAGATGATATCGTGGAATTCGACGATGTCTGTTCGCATTAGACATCCAGACAAAGAAAGCTTTTGGAATAAAAATTCGTCATCATGATTGATAATCGATCCGATAACTCACCAAACCGTAATTCTGACCCGGATCATCAATTAGTATAGTTAGGCGTGTATATTGCTTTATTTTCTCATATGCAAGTACACAGAAAGGAATATTTAATGAAATGTCTCGAATGGTAATGTACAGGTGAATACTTTCGATAGTAACTTTTAAATATACCGGCGCCTAATATTAGCATCTCACCTTTTTTAAAGCTACTTTTCCGGTGATTGTGTTATTATATACTACGACATGATATCCAACTACATACGCAAACATACAAAATTCAACGTTGTTGAGAAGTTATTGTCTAAAAGTATTAGATCCTCTAATATTTTACTAGTGTATCGATACTCTTGCGTAGCTCATTTCGAGGTTCTGACTGTGTTGAACCGGATAAGGAATGTTCAAGTCATAAAACATCTTTCCAAATGGACTTGGGACAAGGATAGATGATGACAATTACTCGAAATATAATAAGAAGAAAATCAATAATTCAGATACTTTTTATATTGTCAGGACGTCACAGTCACATGACGATTATCATACTGTTATACTGTAATTATTCTATCCTAGTATCAAACTTCATGAAGCAAACTTTTTATAAACGTATACTTGCATTTTGCAACACTTCTTCCACATATCTTCTATTGTTAATCGTACCTTCGCGCGTTGTTTGATAGAGCCATATGCGTGCATATGTAGGAATTAGTAATCGTGCTTAGCAACGTCTAGTATTGATTATTAATGATGTATTACAATCCATCCGCCTGCAGTAATTCGGGGCGTATTGGTTTTGTGACGTCACTGGTCATCCGCTTATTCTTAACTCGCAACTTTTTAAAGATTCACGAGATTAAAATATAAGCTAAAAGGCGCGCATGATGCTCCCCATTTTTTTGCTTTTTTATGAATCCCATAAATTAAGCTTTCTTGAACTTGATATTTTTCACATCTGCTGGGACGGAATATAATTTTTCCCATCATTTTGAAAACCCGGTAACAACAACGTTTTCATCGTCGTATTGTATTCTTTAACGTTTGAATTTCCTCAATTTTTAAGATATTTTTCTTCATATTATTTTTTTGGCTTTTGTGAGTCTTGGCTACCTCTTCTCGTTCTATTATTAATTCTTCTTTACTCGTAAATATATATTTCTTTTTCCAATGCTCTGGTTTTATCTCCGAGGCAAGAACTAAAAGACCGGACAATTTCTTCTGAAGCGGTTTATTTTGCGCTAAACAACGACAAAAGAATATATGCCTGTTTTGTTTTACCAAGGTATCACACTTCTCACATCACGGAAAAGCATTGTCATCATAATCTCTTTGCAATCTTCGTAATGAAATAATGTCAAATATCTGTCAGGAGTATTACGAGCTACCATTGAAATTAGGAAAAGTAAATTATTGAAACTAGGAAACAGAACTTACACTCTTGTTGATCTATTATTCTCAACTTTGTTTCGACATATAACGGTTAAATGTCGATTATTACCATTATTAGCGTTCCTTATCTAATGATTGGTTGTCTTCGACATGCAAGTGATACAAAGAAACGCTTTGTCTTTCAAAAAAAAAACTTCAAAAAATTTTCTAGTATCAGTCAAATTTATAAGATTGTAGTAAAATAAATGATTTGACAGCAGGAATAAACAGCCTGTTGTTTATGAGACATTTTTATCGCATCATTTGCCGCTACTCTCTATACGCACATACGACAAGTTTGCTACAACTTTACAAACAAGTCCTCAAATAATACGGTTTATCGACCACTAACCAATGAAAGAATTCAAACACATGCCATTTGCACTATTATACATTCAATACTTTCAAAACGAGATATTGTAGTGACAGTCTCTCACCGTTTTGATAAAAGAAAGAAACTAATTCAAATAGAACAAACTCTTTTATTCATGAATGCCAGGCATCTAGGATAACAAAGGTCTGAATGAATTACGCTCTATAGTTAAGTCTATAACCGAACTGATTAGGACAACACCGTATGTATTGCAATATTTGCCTACGAGACTAGTAAAGTACTTATATTATTGTAGTGTTACTAAATTACTTTGATTCTGCTTTGTCTATTCAACTTATGAGCGCAATGTTTCCATCGAGGAACTGCGATTTGTCAATATGGAAACAGCTACTGTATAGCACTAGTTCTACTACCTCCACGTCCAATGTAGCACTTCTCTTGCTTAGTACCAAACTTATATTAGTCCGTCCTCGTCAACTTTGGTAAGTACCCGGATACTTTGACCAATATTATAGTACAATTGCGCATTTTTACTGTAATTTTTTTCATGATATATTCGTTTCTTTGACGATACCTTTTTAGTTATATTTGTCATAACAAGTATCCTTATTCCTTCTATAACATACTGTGAATGGAATGCTAAAGATGCAAATTTTGGATTGCTAATGCTAAGACGATAATATGTATACAAAAATTTTCTACCCTATAGTACAGTGCCTCCCCAGCATAATATCTTACACAAGATTCCCCGGGTACTGAACCAGATAAAAGACGTAATTGTAGTCCAATTGTGCTTAAAAAGGACGACGTATATACGAAAAGTAGTACATTATTGTGAGCCATTAATGAGTACTAATAAAAGTCAAGGCTATGTTAGAAATTTAGATTATTACTTAAATCTCAACATGGTGGGGCAAGAAAAAGACTACACTGCCTAGACATAAATTTGCGTGGTTTTTAAAAAAATTTTATTTGTCTTAGCTTAATGAAATACTAATATCTTGTTGGCCAACCATTATTAGCAATACATGCTGGCCGTTTTTGGGAAGAAGTAAATGCCATAGTTAAAAGTTCTATTCGTTGAGGCATACTATAAATTAATTTGAGGAAGACTATTTGCGAGATTTTCTCTCTAAATTTACAAGATTTATAAGAGAATCAGAACAGTCGCGCAAGCAACGTTTGAGATAATCCCAAAGGTGTTCAATGGATTTAAATCCGGGGACTGAGCAGGCCAATCCATTAACATTTTAATTTTTTTTCCAGCAATCCATCTTTAGCCGTATGAATGGGTGCATTGTCATGCTGAAATTTGTAGAACCGATTATGAAATTTTGAGTACTATTACTTTTATTTATAATTTGAATTGTTTTTATCTTGTATGGCGTAAACAATAACAAAGACGCGTCATGAGAAACAGAGCTTTCAATTGATACCAAAATCGATTATTTTTGTTACGTTAATTTTAATAAAAAAATAAGAAAATTGACCGCACAACTTGTGTTTAGGTAGTGTACATACGCAGCTTTACACAAAAATGACATAGTCTGGTCTTCAGGCGGCCTTATACTTAAGACCATGTCAATAGTTTGTCTTTTTTTTTACTATTGCTACATATTATGCACATTTTAAGGTTGTTCCAATTATTATTAATCAAACCTGTATTTATTGTCAACTTAAAGTATACTCAAAATTTTATGTTATTGTTGGTCCAATGAACTCAAAGAACTGTGTTTATTGTCGCCGTTGAAAATATGAGTCATATTCTTGTTAATCCAAATAACATTAAAGAAGTGTGCTGACTGTCAGCCTAAGGTAGATCAAAATTTTATGTTATTGTTGGTCCAATGGACTCTAAATTCATTTAAACCGTCTATTATCTTAGATAATAATAAGGAAATAAACCATAATAATAAGGTGCATGTTTTGTCATAATCTATGAAAACTTATATCCCAACCTTAACTCAAACATAAAAGACGCACATTTCATTTGCAATGCAAAACTCATTGCAATACAAATAATTTTTTAACTATGTTTGTCTATAATTATTTGCATATCTATAAATTAGTTATCTTATTTGAGGGATAGATTATCTTGACTATCACCTTTTATCTTAACGAGAATTCTCTGTCTAACTAATTAATAATACCCTTATTATTATAATTTGGGACTACTAAAAAATTTTTTTAATGTGCGGTCATAGTTTTGCCGCCGCCGCATTCTTTGAAAACTTCATATTTGTAAAAAATTTTTCCTGCGTTTGCCACATTAAATTTCAATAAATTTTAATAAAATTTTCTATAAATGTTGGCTGTTATTGCGGTCCATATATTAACCATAGCGTTGGCCCTTAAATAATTTGGAAAGTGTTCTCCCAAGTGCTTAGCAGATTTGGTTCACCGAAGTGTCGTTAACACTTTGATAAAAGGCGATAAAGACGTGTTTCTTTGTGGTGTACTCGAGATGATAGAAAGTTTAAACTTCGTATACGCGTGTGTTCGGGCTGCATAATCCGTGAAGAGGCAAGTATGCCGCACATTGTCCGCGGTTGAAAGACAATTCTGCAAGGTAAAATTTTGCAATAATGTAGGTGTGTCATTCTTAGACAAGGACGTAGAGAATGTAATTGAATTAGGTTGACTGTTTGATATTTTTTTCAGTCACTGTGTTTACTGTTAGTTACTACCAAATTTCTGACTTTTTATATAAATGGATGTATGTAGTACAAAAATAATTGCATGAGTTTTAATTAATCTTTTGTGGATATTCATCATGTCATTATTGATTTTGCGTTTATTATGATCTGATCTTTGACAATATTTAGGAAAAAATTTTTTTTACATTATCAAGTTTTAAGCCCAATTCTCAGGGGTAATTTCTTTTTCAAGACACATTATATGCGGCACATACAACTAATGTAAAAATTTTTTTTTACTTATGCAGGGTTATCAATTTTGTAAAAACAAAAGATAATGTGAGCTATTATACAACGCGATTTATTGTTGCCAAACGCATTAGAATAATAATATGATTTGTTTCAATAACCATGTTTCCCAAATTAACTGACCGTATATACTTTTTAAAGATTCGTTAAACTTTAGGCATGATGTATTATAACAATAATGATTGAACAATAACATGCATTGTACTCGGCGCATTATAAATAGTGAGCATGCATACTAATTAGTACTGAGGTATCCTGAATTTCTGCATCAACCAACACAATTGCGCATCTATTTCAAGTCTGAAACTTGCAAGATATTGCAAATCAAAGTTGCACATACCCGGTGTACGTCCAGCGTATGCTCAACGGGCATTGGTCGTTGTATAACAAATTTAATGTAACTCAAACAGTGCCGAATATATTTTTATTTGCAGAAGATCTATTCGCAATTCTATGAAAAAAAAACCTGATTTGATCAACGATACTATTAATTACTCAAAAACGCCCTCGGCGATAAATAAATATTATAATGACATAGAAATTGTTACTCTAGTCCCGCCATTTATTGTTATCGTCATAAATACTATTGTTTGTCAGGCTTAGGCCAAGTACTTTTTTTTTTTTTACTATTTTGGATTATCTGATTGGTCGATATAAGCAAAGCGAAATTCCCTCTTCCTCGTATGGCGCTGTATGGAACCGTTCCTCATTGTTAA